AGGCAGCCTCTCCCCAAACAAAACCTCCTCTGCCCAGAACAAAAGCGCCGCGCGCGGAGCTTCTGAAAGCTGTTTTTATCTACCGCGCTTCTCGTTATTTTTAATTATGAAGTGTCACGGGAAAGCGTCCGCTTGCCTCCTCAAAGAGGGAAAAACAAGAGACCTGGGGACTCTTGCTGGGCTGCACAGCCCTTCCCCTGCCTTCGCCACCATCGCCTCCCCCTCTCTGGCTTTTTACTGCTCGCTCTCCCCACGTACGGGTGGCCCCAGCCGTTCCTAATAAAACTTGAAATGATTTTTCTTCTTCTTCTTTTTTTTTTTTTTTTTCATGACGAGAGGCTTCCAGAGGACTAAAAGGGGGTTTTGTTTCAAATCATTCCCAGATCAGCTGCGGAGAGCCTGAGCAAGAACAGGCGCGGGCTGTCTCCAGCGTGTTCCTCCCGTGCAGCGGGAGGAAGCCGGGCAGAAACGCCGGCTGCGTCCTCGCAGCGCTGCAGGAAAAAGGGGGGCCACGAGGAAGCACGCGCCGGCGTTTTTAAGAAACGCTGAGTTATTTTAGCAACCGGCATCGATGGCTTTCTGTGAACACCCTGGGTTAACCATATACTTAGGGTTTAAGGCATTTCATAGCACTTTAAGTAAAACCAAACGCCACGCCCTAAATTTAGGGGCTCTTTTCCCCCTTGTCCCTTCCAAACCTTGAAGGCTGTGCCCATGTGCTTCATGCATTTCCTTAATGCACTCAAAGTTTTACACAGTCCTCGCTTGACGTCTCCTTCTTCTAATGCTAGAAGGAGGGATAATTGCAAACACCTTCTAATGATTAGTCTTCTGCTTTGAACTTTAAGAACAGGCCTTTGGGAGTGTTTTAAGAGCTTGCTGAAAACACGTTAAACTTTAAAGCCAAAAAAGGCCGCTGTGCATTATTACTAATAGCCCAAAGATGAGTATTAAATTAAAAATAACAAATAGGAGAGCAGAACCTGGTTTACCAAAACCAGTTGGAACGCCTCAGTCGAATTGCATTCATCCAAACCAACTAAAGTGCATGTGTCGGCCTCAGGTTTGCCACAGATATTTAGAAAACAAGTTGAAAACACAACCCCTGAGTCCCAGAGTCTTGCAGAGTCAATTCTCACTGCTCCCTCCTGAGCTTTGTCTGGGTGATATTGCATCAGCCCTTTCTGCAGCCTCGGCGAGCCAAGCCAGAGCTCGCAGGGGCTGCGGCACCGGCACACCAGGAGTTTTGGCCAAGCAGCTCACCGAGAAGAGCTCCCAGGACGCGTTCTTCTCCCACAGGGGTGCAGGGCACCCATCGGCTCTGGGAGAAATGCCGCGATTAAGCGCTCGCTGCCTGCTACCCTGGAAGCTGCTGACCGCAGCCCGCTGGCAGCCTGTCTCTGAGCCAGCAAATATTGCAGCGATCCTTCAAAATTAAGACTCCAGTCTGATTACAGCGTAGGGACAAGATGTTAACTAACCTTTTATTATGGGAAATTTTGAAGCGTCTGCTTTAGTCTCTCAAGATCGTTTGAGACAAAGACTAACAGATGCTTCAGTTCCTAGAGGACTTTAACTTGTTTTTAACCCAAGCTAATGAATAGGTTTACTTACAGTTTCGCAAGAATCCTTTCAGGCTCAGAAAAAACGTTAAACATTTGGAAAAGAACAAAGCTTCCCTGTTTTCAAGAAACCTGAATTTTGCTGTACATAATCGGAAGTTAGAACCAAAACAAACCCTTCACAAAGGTATGAAATCATTCAGGTCTGACAGAAAGCTGAAGTCTACATCCACGAAATGCAAACAGACACGACCGTGGTACTGTGACCACACCACGGGTCTGCTGTGAAGACAGTTCTAAGCTCAAGCTGGAGGTTAATGTATCAGAAACCAGAGCAAAAACATCCTGTCACCCTCTGGAAGCCAGGCTTCACTACCACCCCTGTGCCCTCCCCACTCTGCAGCAGAGCCTTGGATTAGGCTGCTAAGCCACGGGCTGCAAATTCCACAGGTGCCGAGGCATCCCAGCCAGCCTTGTCTTCTCTGCGCTCGCACACACGCAGGGCACGGCTGCAAGCACGTGCAAGCCCACAACGGACACTCTCTGCCTACATGCGCAGCATCAGCTGTCTCCTGGCTTCAACAGGACAGAAGAAACTGAGCCAGAAGAGGAAACAAGAACTGAGAAAGGCACAAGAAGGTGCCAGTGCAGCAGAGCCGGGGTAATCCCTTGGATGAACGTCGTCCCTGATAAAGGACAAGACACTGCGGCTACGATGGCCTTTTGCTCTTTCATATCCCCATGTCGGATGCAAACTTGTCTCCCCTCTTCACATCTACCACATGAACTCTTGTTTACGTGCCCCACATGAGAGTGCAGAGCTCCCAGGTGGGATGGGGTTAGTGTCACTAAGTCCCTTACGAAGGGGGACAACGCGCTCAGGTATCCACCATCTCAGCCATAGAAGCCAACAGTTGAGTTTCACGCTATTCTTTGCACTGCAGCAGGGACAGTCACCCAGCTTCACCTCCCTGGTCCACCAGTGCTCTGTCATCTCCCCCAAAAATAAAAAAAAAATAAATAAAAAAAAAGAGCAGGCAGTGCCAGCTCTTTGCTGATGGTGGGAAATTTTTCTTTGCCACAACATTGGTTAATTAGAGAGCTGGAAAGGGCCTGGTGACAGAACCCTCTTTGTGCTGCCTATTTATTTATTTATTTAAAAGTACAGTACGAGCTTTTTGAGAGGCCTCATGTTTTCTCTGGCTCTGAATAAATACCATCACCCGGCACAATCAGCAGCGTGACGGGAACAAAGGACGCCAAGCGCTGCCCCGAACCCTGAATCGCATCCTGGTGGAAAACCAGGAGGGATGGGACAGGAATCCAGGGATCCAGTCACCAGGTGTCAGAAATGCCACAGGGGTGCCTACGAGGAGGTGTCTGTGTTTAGTTTAATGCCTCGCTAGGATAACACAGGGAATAAAGGCAAGCCAAGCAGAGGATTAGGAAGTTTACGCTGGTTGGGACACTGCTGGGAGATCCCCAAGAGGGAGAGATTTAAAATGGCTTTTTCCTGGCTCGGTGCAAGCACGAGATCGTGCGCATCCCTGCAGAAAGGGGCTGGCGGCCGCCTGGCAAGCTGCAGCGGCCCAAGACAAAGAAGTGTTGGGAAAAACAAAGCTCAGACAAGCCCTGGGAAGGCAGATCCACATCCAGCTTTGCTGAAACCAGGAAATTCAACCCCTGCTCCTCCCTATGCTCCTTCCGGATTTCTGGTACTGAAGACCTCTATTGACAGAGATGCTGCACCGAGTTTTCCCATGCTTGTCACAGCTACAAGCTGTATTAAGTTACTACAGCTTCCCCCACAGCTCAGTCCACACTTTAGTTCTGCCTCTGCAGCTGTCAACAACAGCTGTGAGAACGGACCCGGCTCTTAACTCGGGTCCGTTAGCTTTGCCAGAGGTTTTTTTGGTTGGTCCATCTCTGCGAAGGGATTCGCGGAGCTGGCAGCAGGCACCGAAAAAAAGACAGAACTCCCCTTGCCTCCAGACGCAAAGCTGTACCGACCAGCTTCCTCAGCTGCAAAACTAAGAATGAGTCCCAGTAACCCCAGTGCCTGGTGCCAACACACGCTTCCTCACCAGCTCCCTCCACGAGCCCCGCTCCCCGGAACAACACTCAGAGCGCTTCCAGCCAAAGCCCTCATCTAACAGGAGCTGTTTTTTCCCTAAAGCAACCCCAGCTCCTTCCAAGTTGCGGTCAGATGTGACTCTGCGCTGATGGAGGCTTCCAGCGTGGTTTTTAGCTGCCTTGGGAAAGGAAAAAAGCTGTGCTGCCTAAAACCCAGCCGCCTTCCTCTGGCGGGAAGGCGCGTATTTCAGCGCGCTGGCACCAAACGGCGACTGAAATCAGGGCGCGAATCATTCACAAAAGTCCTTCATTACTTACTGTGGGATCTGTCCAGAGTGAGCACTTTGCACAGTCCTGGCAGGGAGGCCCGGGCGACCGGGGGTGTTGGCAGAAGTGGTCGTACCCGTTAATGGCAGCTCGGCAGAGGTAGCACATCTGAGCACCGCAGCGGCAGGACATGCGGTTGCAACCCTCCGACTTAATGAGGCCGGTCCCACACTTGTGGCATTTTCTAATGCGGGCAGCCGTCATTTTCTCTTCTCTGCAAGGCAAGAGGAGGGACAGGAGTTAAAGGAGGGGTGTTTGCAGTCATCAGCCTGCGGTAAAATTATTGCTATGCTATCCCAGCGACGCTTTAACCCCCCTTCCCCAGTGCACCTCTCTCCCTCCTCTTCCCTCCTACGCCAGCCCCACGGTCCACCGCTGCTCCAAGGAGGTCTGGGCTCAGCTCCACTTGGAGCCAACCCACGACAACTCAAGAACAAATTAAGTGAAAGAAAGTCAATCGGCGGCTGCCCGCTGCAGACCCGATCCTGGTTTCCATGCGAGCCAAAACGCCGCAGCACCAGGCTCTGGCTTGGGAGGAATTGAAGCCGTAAGTCGAAGGGCCAAAGGGCACGTGGATGCTTGGCTTGGCTGCGGCGAAATACAGCCGAGGAGATAAAGTTCAGGAAAAGCAAACCCTTGGCTGTCATCTGCTAGCTAGTTTTATGTTTGCCTGTTGCTCCGGCTACAAAGCTGCCACGATCACATATTTTTTTATTCCCCACCCCCCCAGCCCTGGCTGCTACGCTCCAGATTTATTTGGTTTTTGTTAAATTTAAATCAGTAACTGAAAAACAATTGCATCTTTCCCCGCAGAGACTGGGCGTTCTCCCTT